TATCTCCAAATAATACCAGGTTCTTTACTTATGATGCTTTACATTTTACCTAAACCTAACCAGCCAAAGCATTATCTTCTCCCATCACCTTCACTAGATCATTTCAGTGGAATTCGTTAAAGGGACCTGCTCGTCAACCACCAAAAGCATGGTCAAGTTTGAGCTTGGTCCCATTTTTGGCAGAAATTTTAATTGGGAAATACCGGCACAGTTTTTTTCAAGGCAAAAAAAATGGATCAAAAAAGAACCAATTCTTTTTTTAAAACTGGGCCAAAATCAGTCCTGACCCAGCCAGGCTTGAGAGGATCGCCAAACCGACCCTGTAGCTTCCAATAGGCGCATCCAACTCCTATCGCTCCAACGTGTCAAGAGCTCTTTGGCCAGGCTAAGCCTTGTTGTCTCATTCCCTGGTCCAAAACTTACGCCCTCTCTATAACTACCAAAATGGATGTCTTTGTCAGTGACTCAGTGATGGCTGATGACAAGTTTTAGGGTGCCATCGGAAGCAAGGCACCACTGATCCCATGCACCCCCCTGTTTGATTAGGCCTATCCCTTCCACGCCATCGCATTTTAGCTGAACAAATGCCAACCGTACTGCATCAGTCATCAAATATTTCATGAGACCGATAACAGTTCACAGGAAGGACCCTACATGCTTCGGTGTTTGTAATGCCGAATTCGTGCGAGGAGGCTAGTAGCGGAATTAGAACTACTCTTTCACTTGGGCACAGGAGGGGGTCCGTGATAACTGCAGAGGGATTTTGGACTTCTCTCGAGTTTGTGACTCTACCGTGGAGGTAGAAACAAGCGATGGCCACCTCAACGTGTCGTGCCAGAGCTCGGAAGCAAAACACCAAGAAAACGGCAGACCAGTACAAACAAGGGAGCCCGGATGCGCACTAATAAACACGGGTACGTGGGTCCTACTTAAGCTAAAGAGTGGATGGGGTGGGGAGGTTTTGCGCTTTCAAAGATGCCCATTTTCTTTCAGAAAAGGAAGTTTGTTGTAAGCTTCTTCCCAAATCCGTGAAAGTTTTATGAGTTGCATGAATTAGGATTTTTTTTAAAAAAATAAAAAAATTACGGAGAAACTGATTTGTATGCAATTCTGTACTATGGCCTGTCTAGAATATGAATATGAATGTAGAGTAGCAGTTTACCGCACAAAACATCAGAATAAATATGTGGATGTTCTACGCTACAAGAAAACAGCCTTACCGAAGATACCGCATAAATGTACACGGAAGGAGAAAGGGCTGAAAGGTACTGCTGTAAAAAAAGAAACAGAAAAAAAAAAGCATTGGTAAAATATTGAGAACAGCTTTAACATGAATAAATGATGATATAATGATCCTGCTACATTATTATTTCAGGTTATAAATTATAGAGTGGACCCACCTTATAACTAGTTTATCGCAGCTATAGCCCCAATGTCAACATCTCTAGCTCAGACTTGTGTCATGGATTTGATTAGCAATGTTCATTGTTGGTTGTCAGTAATTAAAAATTAAGGACCAAGCTTAAACTAATGCAGGGCTTCAATCCCAGTGTCAACAAATACGTATCCAGCCTCAGGAAGTCTAAAAAATAGAAGCCAGACTATGGTTTTCAATACTCCGATGACGTGTTCATCAAATCCAAGACACGATTAGACTTGAAAACATTAGGCTAATGAGGTCTTGTAGTAATGATTGCACGAATAATCCATCAACATCCAAGAATAAGATGGCAACATAAAGTAATTGGCCCGTGAATTATGAGAAAGTAAAAGACAATTCCATGCTGACAAAGCAAAAGGATTATAAATCAAGAAAAATAATAATAATAATTCAAGGTAAGCCACTTTCAAAAGTTTGGACTTTAGAAAGTATAATTTCCTTTTCATTACTCACCCATCCTACTCCCATTCGATTACTGTGTGCTTTTTTATTCCCACCCCCATGCATTAAGGAAAAAAGAAAAGTGGCCACTGCAACATAACAAAAAGTAGATTAGGTTTTTTAATCTTTAATTAGACCGAGGCCAGCAGATTCTCCACCACTGCATTTTTATCCTTATGGCATGTTAAATTATATTTTAGCTCTTACTTCATTGATCCAGAGAAGAAATTTCACAAGTCTCTTTCTCAATTAGTATATGAAGTTGGACTTTAGAAAGTATAATTTCCTTTTCATTGTTCACCCATCCTAGCTACTACCATTCGTTTACTGTGTTTTTTTTTTACTCCCACCCCCATGCATTAAGGAAAAAAGAAAAGTGGCCACTGCAACATAACATTGAGTAGATTAGGTTTTTTAATCTTTAATTAGACTGAGGCCAGCAGATTCTCCACCACTGCATTTTTATCCTTATAGCATGTTAAATTATATTTTAGCTCTTACTTCATTGATCCAGAGAAGAATATTCACAAGTCTCTTTCTCAATGAGTATATGAAGAGAGTAAACTCCAAGCATCAGGCTGTACATTGGTACTTGCCACCTACACTCTTAAATTTTTTTTTTTGCCGAAGGTTGGTCAGCTTTTATTTACAACTTGCTGCTATTATATTAAGAATTGTACACAAGAATCCGTAGAAAATTTTACGTTAATAATTAAAAACTGTTGCAACTTGGTTCGTATTTATAATGGAAACTTGAGGTTACAGAGACTATTAAAAATCTGGGCTGAGATTATGTATCAGATACTGAAAAAAGAATTTTTAAACCTGACAGTTCAGTTATATAGTTGATTAATTATATGTTTGATTCATCCAGTACTCTTGATGTAAATTTGATTGAATGAAAATGTTTTTTTATAATATTATACGTGGTCAATAGGAAACTGGTTTTCCATTTTCAGATAACTAGTGCGCACCCTGTGCAAAGCACGGTCTTCATTTTTTTACTTATGCTACAGTAATTCGGTATTTTAAATACACTTTTTGTAAACACTACAGTAACATTTTTTAAATGCTACAGCATCCGCTTGAGTTACGATGATAATGCTACAATATATATTTTTGAACGATGCAGTTCTCATCTGTGATACAATAATAACGCTACAATATTTAATGTAACATGAATAGTAAATCTCAGATCCTCATGTTTATGCAACAGTAAAAATACTACAGTAATTTACTGTAGCATTACTATAGTATGAGTAGTAAATCTTAAATCCTTCCATTATTGTAGATAGACCTGTTCATCCGGGCCGGGCAAAATCGGAGCCCGGACCTAGACCAGGGTCAGACCGGGCTGGGCTCCGGGCCGGCCCGGGTTTTTTTTATTTTTAATTCTTTTTTTAATTAAAAAAAAATAATAAAGCATAAAATATACAGAAAAATTATAAAAAATAACATAATTTTTTTTAATTAATTAAAATACCATAAATTACAAGTACAAAAAATTATAGAAATAAAAGATGATAAAAATTAACTTTTTCATTAATAATCATGTCATTCATATATTATACATAAACAAATTGTATTATACATAAACATATATATATATATATATATATATATATATATATATATATATATATATATATATATATATATATATATATATATATATATATATATATATATACACATATATACATAAACTTATATGTACATATATAATAGTATATTATGAAATATTATAAATACCATATAAGATATACATAGTATATGTTATATATCTATACAATATATATAAACAATAACTTATATAATACATTATATAATTATACATATTAAGAGAGAGTATACTTATATATATTATATACTAAAGAGAGAGTAATATATATATATATATATATAATATATATATAATATACTATATAAAAAGATGGTACATACTGTATACTTAATATATACAGTATTATATACTTATATACTAAGAAGTATATTTATATAACTTAATAAGTTATATAAGAGAGAGTATACACTGTACACATATGATAAGAGAAGCAGCATACTTATACATATTCATATCATAATATATATAAGGATATATACTATATAAAAGATATACTTATTATTTATATAATTAGTATACTAAGTAGCCCAAAGTATTCATTCAGTCTTCATAATTATATGTTATATATATAATACAAACACTGACGACACATATACATATATTATAACATAAACAAATTGTAATACTTATAGTAATTACATATAGACAAATTGTATTAAATACATAAAACACAAGCACAACCCCACAACATATACATTAGAGAGAAGAATATAATGGGTTATCCTTGTCATAGAGGGGAATTTCTCTCCTATGACCTTCAGTAAAATCACATGATTGAGCAACATGTGTGGATGATCCGCTTCCGGTTTGAACTTGATTTAACATATCTACAACCCAACACAAATCACTCAAGTTGGGGTGAACCCGTTGTCTTTGACCCTTCATCCACTCAATATCAATTTTAACCGGTTGAAGAATAGAACTTTTCAACATGCGCTCGATGAGGGCAAACGACGACGGATTCACCCCAAACTTGGTGTGTTAAAGGTTTAGAATATGTTATCAAAGTTCAACGCGCGGATCAATCCATAATGTCGCTCAATCATGTATTTTAGAGGCGCTAAGAGGAAATCTCCTCCCCTATGACAAGGATACTCATTAATCTCATATATATAATAGTATTATATATATATATATAACTATTATTATATATACACACTTATCCACATACATATATTATAAAGAAATTAAAATTTTAAAAAAAACACTGTTTCGCCGGCGGCACACAGCCCGGCCGGCTGGCTTTTGGACACCCCTAATTATAGATGAATAGATTGCGCTCGGTAAGACTCTGGACTTCCCCTGTTAGTACTGTTGTATCTATGAGACCAAAGCCAAATATGATGATGTATGCGGCAAATGATTGTTGCACTCTGAGTAAAAAATAAAGGTAAATTTTTTAATTAATCATAATCATCAGATGCTGGTAGCACACAACCACAGCCTAAAAGCAATAGAAATTGTAGAATAAACATTTTGGTGATTATGATTTATTTGATTGCTCTACCAGTGTTGCTTAGCACGGGGGCCACATTATGTTTTCTGTTCAAAAGGGAAACTATTTTTCTCTGTTTATGATGATTGCCGGTATACATTTTTGAGGAGAGGGCTGCACACTGCTGAAAAGGATACAAGAATAAAAAGAAAATTGCGGGCTTCAGAAATTGCACTAACTGATATGTAACAATCAAATTTAAGATAGCGCGTATCCCGTAATGCAATGCGAAACCAACAAGATAAGCATATTCAGGTTATGTCCATCTTACATTGATTCAGTCACGATCTATCCAGTTCACATCGTTTCTTCATTTTCTTTTCCTTTGTGGTTGGAATTTCTACACCTGCAGAGAGTTTTATTCAAGAGAAAATCAATTAAAAACATGATTTATATACCCATACAGCGGAAAATTTGCTTGAAAATAGAATCTTCATACCCAGTTGGCTATGGCCCGCATATTGTTTTTCAACAGTTGAATGACCTGCAGAGGAAAACTCCACGCATACATGCATTTTAGGGTAGATTATGCTGATGATTAGGCAAGGGCAGAGATAACACTAGAAGATCAATTGTTTAATGGGCTTAATGGCGGCAATTGCTACTTAAAATAATCTGAGTTGCTTATTAATGATGAGAATAATTACTGCTTGACAGTCAACATAACATGTCATGATTAAAATCAGATTCTGTTTAAGGTGGTGCATCAAAAGTAAGTACAGAACTTGTCGAACAAATAATGCTGGAAATCAAATCAAAGTAGGTCTTGATATATTTCTTTTTCTTTTAGAGTAAAAAACTAGTCAAAGCGTAACCAATCCAGGATTTACTACAAATTATTAAAAGTATATCTCGAGCTATGAAGAAAATTTAGGATTTTCTTCAAGGAACATCCAGTGTTGAACGCAATGGTACCCAACATCCTGCATGAAGACGCATCCATATTTATTCTTCAGAACATATGGTTCTCCCAGAACATATGTGTATTTAACTCATACAAGAGTCCCTATTGGTTGTTGGGGGGTTTTTTCCCCTAAGAAATGTTGTGATACATATACACATCTGATCGATCTCATTTCAATCAACTGATCAATGCAACAATTAGCTTTCGTCACAAAAGGGCATAGCATACTTTCTTACTTTCTTATCCACCAGAAAATTAAAAAAGGTTAGTAAGGCGTTGCATCATCGAAAAATGTTAAAACACTGATTCTCAAGAGCTGCATCAATTTTTAGTTGGGTGAACTGTCCTATATATCACATTGGATTAAACCAAGAAAGAAAGAGAAATTCAGCCAACTGATTAATCTAGGTAGGAGTTGCGATACTATGATGGTTGGTCGATGAGATGGTGGCCTTCCACAAGATGGTGGCCTTCCACAAGTCGATCTCAATCCGTCCCTCATAGTCCCCATGGTAGACTGCTGATAGATGTTAACACAATACAATTCATCAGATACAAATGCATTTAATATCCTACACCAATTCTGTCCAGTGTCCAGGAATAAGGAAAAGAAACTGCGTGTTCTACTTAATTTGCTATACATTAGTGCTAATTATAATTTTATTCTTTAACAAAATAGGTTACAGCCTTCTTATAGGAAAAAAAAGCAAAAAACCAAGAATGGGAATAGACTAAAGTTCTATTCAAGTAAACACCTACCAGTCTTTTAATTCTTCGAGCTAAAAGCATGACCATATTCACGACATGGTGACTTAAGATTCAAGAAATCAACCTGGTTTCGATTACAATGAACTAAGCCATTCAACTTTTAAATGTGAAACAAGTATAGAGTGCTAGATCATGGATATTCTCACAACTAGTGAGCAGAATATGAATTCTGATATTGACACAGACATAAAAATAACAGTTACAACCCAGTCATTGCTAAAAAGTACACAAAGGAATGTCATGTCCAATACGTGTATGTGGCACGTGTTTGACAATGTAGAACTTCATGTTCAATGGGTTGGTGCTGTCGAGCACATAAACTTGTATCTTCACATTTTTCTAGCAGCTATTCGGTACTAACGGAATGAGTTGTTCTTGCAGCAAGCTTCAGTTTCAATAGCTTTTTTTTTTTAGCTCTGAACTTATTTTGACAATGAAAATTTTCCACCACAGATATTGGTTATGATGTCCAAAGTTACTTGCAACTGATTTCATGCACTTTACTCCACAGTAATTCAATTTATTATATTTAAATATAAGATCTAGCCCACAGAGCATAGTTACACAGTACGCAGTACGTAGCGGGTCACCGTACAAATTCAAGTACACAATTCGCCACTTAAAAAATTTAGATTCGTTAGGGGGTAGCTTGCTACAGCACACAGGATCGGTTAGTAGAATGTAGTAAATTTTTTTAGGGCGAGCTTAAAATTTTCCATATATAGTAGGAAACTAGAAAGCTAATTATAAATTTTAATATTTTTCATGTAACATACTTAAATACTTCTTTTTGATGGAGTTTGTTTCTTTGTTCTGTTTTTTTTTTCACAGAGATCATTATAGGATCATGCACTTAAAAAGGCTAGTTACTTATCTCCATAAACATGGTTTGCGTACCTACATCAACAGTTATTTGGACATAGGTAATATTCTGACCGTTACTACCATATATTATGTAGAGCAAAGTGTATTCTTAAGTAGAGGAAAAGGTCAGCAGATTTGTTTGCTTGCTCAACTACTGCATTTTCTTTCATGTGCAGCTTAAAAACTAAGGTTCACTATCCCTACATTTTGTTCTCTTTAAAGTTTTCTTAGCCCTTTTCTCGTCGAACGAGAGAAAACATCAGACGATGTATTTCTATCTTGAAACCACGGACAAAATAATATCCCATCATCAAGTCACAGAGCTGAGGTGTCGGATCATTTTTCAAAGCTTTGCTACCCTTTCTTTCTGACTCAGTGTTATATAATAATGAAGAGGGAAAGAAAATCCCTCTAGTATTGACTAAAGCTTCTGCTATAAGTAGCGTTTAGTGAAGCATAACGTAAAGAAGACGGATGAAGACCGTATCAGCAGTCCTTTTTTAATTTCCGGGCCTAGCTTAGGCATTTACTCTTGAAAATGTCTGGTTAATTTGGAGACCTTTCCAGATGAGATATAATCGGTAATTCCTTCTGTATTCTAAACTCCATCATTCTACTGTTCCTAAATACTTTTTAGGTAGTTTATTATCCATCAGTCTGCTGTCTGTATTTATGGATTTGCACATTAATGGATCGAAACCCTAAAGCATTGAGGACCATGTGATGCTCAACATAGAAAACAATGTGAGTGGATCAAACCAAAACGGAAAAAAATGTAAAGGGAAAAAGAAATTTGCAAAAAAAAACATTCTCTAATGTTGTAAATGTATTACATGTTATTAAAAAAAAAAGACATCTTTGGAGGGAAGTTTCACATAGCAGCAGATGGTAGAAACTGACGTTATGCAGGTCAAGATCACGAGTTCCTGAAAAAAACATTCACATAATAAAATAAAAATAAAAAGAGAGAGACCATATGGACAGCAAGGTCATGAGAAGAGATTGCTCAAGTGAGAAGAGGTCCAAGGTCGGAATCCTGAAGGAAACACAGAGACACCTTATGTATATCTTAGAATATAGGAATAGCAAGGTACATTCTCTTACAGAAGTTATCATAAGCTTGATGGTTGGTTAATAACTTTGTTACCCGAGTTGCAAAGTTCGTATTAAAATATGTGATTTGGAAATACTGATTGGAAGAGATTCTCAAACCAAATTACTGATCTAATGGCTTCTGATCCGCTACAATGGAAACAAAACCAAAGCCTATTAACTAGTAATTAGCTGGATTTAGGTCTTACATAAGGAAAGCAAGCCATCAGAACACTGCATCAGCAAAGACGCAGTCAAGTATACACTTACGAAAATAAGTCGTTAACAGCATTTGTGCTGTTATCCACTAGTCTTGACATTGGGGGGCAAAAAAAAAATCTGGTTTAGTTTGCTAGATGTTGCTTGAACTATAGCTGCCCTTGAACAGATATGTAGACAGATATAACCAAATTAATATGCTGTTTGTGTGCTTAAACAGTAGAACATATTTTCTTACTATCAATGATAAAACCGATAACTATTAAGAGACAAAATGATGTTATTGCTACATTTTCATAGACCATGTAGGTGAGTTTCGTAAGAATAAAAAAAAAAAAGATAGGGCACAGCCAATGCCCTCTTGGAAACGTTTTACAATGAAAAAACCTCCAGAATGTTCCTAAATGCTACATGCTAGCTAACACGAAGAAATCAGAACAAGTTCAGACATGGGACGTAAATATTTCATAGTATTAGCATGATCATTTCGAAAAAGTATGTATATTAGAAGGGAAACATGAAACTCAGAAGAAAGAAAAGAAAGTTTATACTCTCCATACCAGCATGTTACTAGTGGAATGAGCTTTACTATATGATCATAATATAACCTATAATCCTTTTGTGGACTTTCTTTTCCCAGAGTATTGTTTCCGCTTATTGAAGTACAAGGTGTTCTTGATTCCACAGCAAGTGCAACTGCAATGCTGCTACTGACCTCGTAATTGCAAACAACCAACACTACACAGCCCAAGGCCTGCCCTCCCTTCGAGTGAACTGGACAATTGCTCATTAATAAATAAACAAATAGTTCAAGGAAAGAAATGGAAAAACTGGATGAACGGTTACATTTCCTGCATCCTATTTAGAGAAAGAACTGAATGCGATGGAAGGAAAATTATGCTTACACAGCCATCAAAAGTGCATCCACTAACATCATGTTAGTTTGAGACTAAAAAAGAAGTAAAGCTCAAGATGAAAGCAGACGTCAACAGTGAGGAAAATTGAAGGCCTAATTATATTTAAAGGACCTACAGGTCAAGAAGCCTAATCCAATTGGTGTATAGACTATGTTACCTGAGCACTTCTATTTGGAAGCCGTACCAGTACCCGTACCAAACTTCTTGGACACTTCTTGAATATATGCACACATTTGCTCAAGCTTATGCTTAATTATATACCACATGTTTTAATTTAAAACACTCATACACTTCTTGGACGTATGTTCGATACTTCACATCTATTTCTATTATATTGATCTTATGTAAATGAAAAAACAATATTGATTTTATGTAAACTATTTAACTTTAATACACACACACACAACATATATATTTATAGCCATGTCCTCGTACCCTCCTTTTTACAAATTTACCGTGTCCTCTACCCCAAACTCGTACTCATGCCTGTACTAGCACCCTTACAGATACATGTATTGAAACTTCTTGGACACTTCTTCAATATATGCATGTGTTTATTTTGGCATATACTCAATTGTACAATACATGTTTTAAGTTAAAGCAATCCTCATACACTTCTTGGACGTATATTCTACATATCTATTTCTTATATATTGATCTTATGTAAATAAAAAAATAATTTTATTATTATGTAAATTAGTAAGCTTAATACATAGAAATACCAACAATGTACATATATGTAGCCGTCCTACACTACCTTTTACAAATTTATCGTTTTATGTACCCTTACCCTTTCGCTACCTTTAGGACTTTTAGAGTTACCGCAGCTGTTTACCGGGGTTTCCATTCACACTTCTCCTTCCGACCTTCTAGCACCGGGGCACCAAGGTTTTAAATATCGGATGTCGGGTTCATGTAGGACAACTAAAATTCATGTTGGATAGTGGAAATCGGGGATATGTCGGGGGACATATACTAAATATTGAATTGTCATATCGGATGTATTTCTACTCAAGTTTGGTCACCAAGATGGAATACACTTGTCTTGTCATAGCTTATCCTACTTGAGTTGAGTATTCATCATCAAGACACAAGTTATTTTCCATTCCTTGAAGGGAAACATTGGAATATTATGCCAACAAATAAATAAAATACACATTGTCAAACTAGAGCTTTCGAAGTGCCTTGCATAAAGTAAAGTGCCTTGCATAAAATTGACATAAAGTGTTAGACTTTGGATTGATTTTAAGCTACGGTTCAAAATTATTGTTTATATCACGTTTTTATGAATTTCCAATTTTAATTTGTTGAGACGAAGACAATCGAGAGGAGATCACGGCGGAAAAAGAGCAATATTTTTTCTTTGCCCTAATCTGTATTATATGCTATCGGGTTACTATGGGAACAAAAGGCTAACAAAAAGAATTAATCAGGTTTGGGTTTTGAGTACTAAACCCAAACCCTAATACTTATCAACTCAAAAAAAAATTGTCAATTTCCTATTTTTCAAGGCTGAAAATTGGTTGATATGTCCGCAATATCCCTCGACATGTCCGACATGGACCTCGAAAACGATATCTGACTTGAAATGGCCATATCCGCTCTAGCCTCTAATCCGACATGTCGACTGTCATTTAAAATCATGGTCTGCACCCATACCCATGCAACTTAGATCAAGTGTCAGTCGTTGAACAGAAGAGGTGGTTTCATATGCACTCTAGTTCGATGATCAACTTCAACATGCACAGACGAGACATCAAACAGGACATAAATCTTACTGGGTCAAAGTTCTCTAAAACAGAGATGGCAGAAGCCGCAGAACTATGAGGCAAATGGTCCATTTTTCCATTCAAAATTTTAAGAGGAACAGATAAATAACAGGAAGGGGTTATGTAGGGATTTAGGAGCACCTTAATCTTTATCTATGGCCAATTATGTCAACAGCATGCACTTCCAAGAAAATGACTTTGAGAAAAGCACCCATAAATGACTTTCAGCACGAATTTTATAAGAATGCACTTCTAAGTCAACAATATTACCAAATAATTCATGACTCACACTTCGCAAAAGCATCGATCCTTTAGTAAAGCTTCATGATTTCTCCCAAAAGCCACGTTAAGATTTCACCACGACAAAAACAGTTTCGAAAGTTATTTCTAACCAAAAGCACCTTCTTGCTCCTTTGAGATTGCCATATTTTGTCATTATTGATGCATATTGCAGTGCCAACAATCATAGAAATAAAACCTAGCTTCAAATAAAGAATACATCTTTATTTATGATCCCAGTGAGAAATTATTCCTCAAAATTCCATCTTTCTCCTATCAATAACATGGAAATTTAGTAAATTTTGCGAAAAGTTGATGCTGAAACAGACTAATTATTATCAAGGAATTGAAAGAATGAAATAAAACTAATTAAGTTCAAAAAGAAAAAACTAACTCAGCGAGTGATGAGGGGTTCGGATTCGAATGAAGTTGCAGCGCTAAGCACTTAATTACGCCATTGAACTCTAGGGCTCATCTGTTGTAATTTGAGATGGCGCTTCCTGATGGAAATAATTTCTACAAGTTTAACACGGCATTACACGGGTTTACGGTTTCCTTTTCTAGCTTTTTTTTTTGATTTACTAGTATGCTATACGTGCGCTGCACGTGATGCATATTAAGAAACTACAATAGTCAAAATCCATAATGTTTTCGTAATTATGCATTGAATTTATACACAAGATGAATGCAAATAAAACATTATCTCACAGGACTTAGAATATTATCCATAGAGAAGGAATTTAATCAATCATATATATGGTGCACGTGATAAAAGTGACCACACAATCAAGAAAATGTTAGTTGATCTTAACTGCAAATAACTAATATTCAGCATAATGTTCAATGGGAAAAGAGAAGCATAAAAGAATATGCCAAGTCACAAGTTTACTGGGAAGATAAGGCACATGTTACATGCAAAAACAAAACTTAAAAACCATAAGCAGCTGATCACCGATCGAGAAAATGTCTTTTAACATGAATACGCAAGGGTAGAAACTGAGATATCGAGCACATGCTCTTAATCTTGTAGGGATATATGAATAAGTGAGCTGGAAACAAAAAAAAATGATTGAAAGAAGCGATAGTTATAAACTTTGAACGTGCGTGAAGCTTGATGGATCATCTAGAATTACAATTCAATAGACATGAATGAAAAGGTGAGGTATTAATTTATTTCCCTTGATACAAAAAAGAGCATGAACACACTTTAAATAGCTGAAATGGGAAAAAAATGGCTAGCTCAAATCAGAAGGCACCTCACAAGATAAAAATAGAATCTGAAACATCATCAAAGAAACTGCTGCGCATCTAAATAGAACAATGAGTAGTAGTCTCCTTTCTTTGATTTCAAGAACTTATAGAGTAGTAGTCTTCTTTCCATTCATTTCAACCTGAAAAAACAATGAGTCAGTCACATATAGGTCACTTTTGTGGAGGGAGATCGACTGCAGTTGACCGAAAAGCTTGCTTTACGTTGAGCAATGTCTCACTGCAATTATGGAAGAGATAATTTACCTTTTTGGAATATATTCTGACCACACCAAGCAAAAGATGGCTTGACAATCGAAGCGGGATTGGCACATCAGGAAAAAAAATGGAATCTGCAAATATGAATAAAATAGACAACAAATTAGTAAGGATGCTTGAAGAAACTACAATCTGATACAAGTATATTTATGAGATGGAAATTATGGACCAACAATGACTTTAAACTTAAATGCCGGTGAAGCCGGCCAAATGTACATAAAAATATTATATCCAAACAAAGCCGTCATCATGATTTAAAATGGTGAGAAGCTACAAATTTACAGGGATTTCATATGCCAATGCATTGGTAAACATGGTCATGTACATTTTACTAATAAGCAGGTGGACATGGTTTCTAATGCATGTCTTCCGACATTTAACAAGAATTAATAAAGTAAATCAAGGCAGAACTTAAACTGGAAAGAAATTAAGACATAGAACAAGACAATCAGGAAAGTTATTAAAGAAATATGAAATGCGGATTCCTATTGAGTTTTCTCCATCTTAATGGCTATGGAATATTATCCAACAACGTACAGGTCAAAGATTACAACCCAGGAAAAATATTTTTATAACAGGTAAACTTATACATAATGTTTTAACAGCTTGTAAGCCAATACATTAAAGCATTAGTTATTATGTTCTTAAGTTTCTAAATTTAGGATCTAGTTAATAAACTAAAGCTTATTTTAGTTGCTGCTTTACAAAAGAATTAATTTCACAGTCCTTTTGGACCTAAAGCCTGTACATTAAAGCAGTAGTTATTATACACCAAAAAGAACAAAGATAATAGCAATAGGAGACAACTTTTCTTAAGGAAAACTTGCATATAGTTTAATAAACTACATAATTGCACCTTTAATAAAATAGTTAAGTGCAAAACAAAGTGGACATAAAGAGCACACCTAATCCAAGTGTTGGAAACTCAATACTCTCCCAACAATCAAATATATCATCCAAATTATGGTTTTGTATGTTGTCAGTAACCAAGTACCTGTCCTAATGCATCCTACCTCTTCAATGAATAATTAACTGCCGTATTAAAAAAAAGATCAAATGCAATAAGTAAACTATTGTGGCCAATACATTAAAGCATTAGTTATTATGTGCTTAAGTTTCTAAATTTAGGAGCTAGTTAATAAACTAAAGTTTATTTTAGTTTATTAAGTGCTTTAGTTTCTAAATTTAGGAGCTTATCCTTTTTTCCCACATAACCTGTAATGTAGAGTGCTATAACCATTATTCTCAGTTACCATAATCAATTGAGCGATGCAATACTTGCTTATGAAATAGAAAAAATGATTACAGACTACTGTTGCATCGAAATACTATTTAATAAGAGAATGTAGACTTACTCATTAAGTCCTCTTCCTTGATCACAAATGGAGAATGCGCAGTTGTAAATAATTCCATCATTCTCAAATATAACTCCACCTTGATCACCAAATTGCTTCTTGTGATGATACCCATCTCGCATCTTGGTATTGTTTGATCTCATCTACTGGGGTTTTTTCTTCATTTGATGCAAAACACACAGCTGCTTTGTCATGTCCTTTGTATATATATTTATAAAGATATATAACAGCCTTAAGTCCAGAGCATACTTCAATATTGACACGACAATTATACCTACTTAACAGGTAAGGGTTGTATGGAACAATCCATTGATTGTCTAAAATTATGTTACGTACAAAAATTTTCTTGCCATCATTCCTTCGCATATATATTGGATAGCCATCACCCCCTAAACTTGTTTTTGAACAAAAGAGACGTGTGTAGTGATGTTTACATTTTCCATCAATCATGCATGGACTTGTTTTCCTCAATGATCCACAAGGGCCATGAACCATATTTTTTACCACCTTCTCATGCAATATTGGAAATAGTGATTGATCTTGTAATTCTGCCGATATAAATTTATCAAAATGACCTGGGCTCATTAGCTTATATTCATGTTTCAAAATTAATAATATATGAGCATGTGGAAGTCCCCTCTTCTGAAATTCAATAACATAGACACGGGCAGCTACTTTACCAAATATTTTTTTCTTAAATAGATGGTCTTTAAGATCTTCTATTTTCCCTCTAAAAACTCTAGAAGAAAGATCTGGTCTATCCTGTGTTGTTTGTCCATTTAGAAGTTCATTTCTTATTTCATCACAATATGGATTACATGTTATTGTAATGAAGAGATCCGGTTTACCATATATTTGAACAAGAGCCATAGCATCCATATAACGACGCCTCATATCTCTTGGTCCTCCTATAAAAGATGGTGGTAAAACTACTCTGTGTCCAACATGATCACCACGTGTTTCCCTAGCAGTAACACTATCAAAAATTCCTTGATACAATTCTGCTCTTATATTTGATTGTTGTTTTCTAAAGAAATCAAGTCGCGTTGTATCTAACTTCACATACATGTCCACAACAAATTGTTAAAATAATCGTCCAGCAATTAGCAGAATTGATTTTATTGGATTCCGAATCTGAAGCTTGTAGCAATAATACTCCCTACAAGAAACATATTGCCATCTTTGTCTTTCGATATCTATTATTTTGTAAAAAAATTTAAAAAATTAATAGGATATGATATGTTTTACTTACGAGATTAAAATTTGGCGTTGGTTTTACCTTGTGATTCCTCCTCATTAAGCTGTCTAGCTAAATCCAATGCCTGAGACCTTTTTCGATCACATTTAATTGTATTCTTTCGTGTCGACCTTTGTAGATAAACTGTTGCCATCCACTCTCACCATTTGGAAATAAAATCGGATATTGTAGAGGATCGTAGCAACTATAATAATGTTTGACTTGATGCCTTTGTCCAGAGTTCTCTTGTATTATAATCTCCCTATTTAACTGTTCATTTGGATTGTTTCCTTCTATCCAAATTGCTACCACTTGATCTGCTGTTGGAGAATTATAAATCCTTTGATCAAGGTTAGTGTTCTTAGATATACAGATTTGTAATTCTCTCAATGTTGGTACATCTTTAATCCTTCGTAGAATTTTCGCATAAGGATTGTCTTGTAGGATTTTTATTATAGTCTTGTTTTTTCTGCTAAGTTCCCTTCTTGTATGACGTTCATCCTATTTTGCAATTCATTATCTGTGTCATAAAAATATAACTGGAAGAAGCGTGATCTATCATTTTGTGGAATCAATCTAGGCAAACTATGGTAAATTTGACCTTGTGCTCTAAAAGTGTATATTCCATGCCTTGAAGATGCCAAGTTTTTATCAATTGCTACCCCAAATGAAGTAAATGAGAAAACACTATTGTATGTTCTAATGTTTCTCCTAAACTCAACACCCTCATTACAATCCGATGTTAGCAAGTTATATAATTCATCTGGAATACGAGGTTCCACAAGTGTTGTTTCTCCATTATTGCAGCAAAAAGATGGACTCTCATATTGAAATTTTATTGCTCCATAATAGATGCAACTTGCTATCTTTCCAAGCTTGTGTAGTTCTGAACAGGACGACCTTGATATATTTGTTCCTATATGATTGTAATATGTTATTAGTTAATTTTATATACTGTAAAAACATAAATTATTATATTTTTAAGCCTATCAAAGCTCACCGTTGCATTCAACTTGGTAATCGGATGCTCGTTCTAGCCAGTTTGCACTTCTTTTCATTGACTGCTCTTCTGCATTTTGACTATTATCTATTGTCCTCTTTATTCTCTTATTTCGACACACCCTTCCAATATAAGCTTCTCTTTTCTTAGTAGTTAGCGCATTGTAGTAATTTTTTCTTTGATGCTGTTGATAAATATATATGAATATATTAGAATTATTTGTTATTCATTATCTTGAGGATGTATTAGAAAAATTAAACTTGTTCGGCTAACCTTCATTTGATTCCATTTGATTTTTCCAATAATTACGCAAACTTGTGAGAATATTAATTTAACTGCACAAGAATTGAACATTAATTTATTTTTCATATTAATCTAGTACATACATCTAATAAATTTAAATGTTATGAATTCATTTATTATGTAATTTTAATAATTGACACAATGGAAAATTTCATAATATAGTTAAATTCAGTTAAGTTAACATAGTAATTAAACACTAATAAAACTAATGTTATAATTACTATACGAACTATATAAAGCATTAATTTTGAGAAGGAAATGTACCTTGTTTTCCTTGCTGTAGTTGTTGTTTGTTCTTAATCTTTCATTCTGAAAAAATATCGAAAATATAAAGTTAGTACAACAATACATGGGTTCAATTATATAGATGAATGCTCTTGCATGTTGTATTCAGAGAAAAATAAGCTATCCACTACAGCAAAGGTCAACGTGAGCAAGAATCTTTGTTAGTAAATACCCCTAAGGTTCCAAAAGTTAAACAAGCAATATTACAAACATAATATTGAATATAGTACCTTATGGAATAAAAAATAAGTTTCCTTGGTTTAATTATTATTACAGGGCATATTGCTGTTCGGCGTCAAATATCTTGTTGTCCATTATCTCATACTTTATTAATATCAACTTAATCTTAAATGTTGTGTAATTTTGGTTTTTTAAAAGTCAATCATGGGAGCAAAAACAACATGAACTTTTTTAGCTGATTATTACTATTTATAAAACAATACTAAAGGTTCCAGAGCAAAGCATGTGTAATGTGTTTGTTAGAGGTAGAGATGAAATATGGGATAATATTTAATGTCTAAATATGATTAAATATAACCTGCACCACTATAATACATCATGCTTAATACTACACATAAAATTGCATAACATATGATGTTGTTCTAAGCTTCTAGCTGATTTTATCACACTGTAGTATGTATCTATTAGTAATACATAACCTCCTCAGTGTTTTAGTGACATAATTTGTCTATGGTCAATGCTTGAGCGTCAATTGCAGTCTTTTAGTATTAATACAAAAGTGCTTTTGTGGTTATGTCCACAAACGTACTGCACAAAAAAATGAATTACTATCAATTTCTGTTATATTCTTTCTGTCCAAGCATTTAACAAAAATTTCACTAACTTCTTGTTGTTTTCCCCTATTCATGTAATTTTTCAATAACTTTTTCATGGAATACAACCACCGCAGCAGACAGCTTGAAGGCAGAGTTGGGGGTTATGGTGTATACATATGCATATAAAAAGTAAGATATATGTTGTACTCTTTTCCTTTTGTCTTCTTTTCCCCCTGGATGGGGGTGGGGGGTTGGGGATGGATACATATTCCTTCTCCATTCAACTACATTAAGAAACTTTAATAATGTAATCGGCTTATCCTTTCTAACTGATTTAACTAAGTCCATGTTCTCTAGGTCTATCTCTATTCCTCTTTGTTCCATCACTAAGGCTCTGTAGCATGTCATTGAAATTACAGTGGTGAATTAGCTCCTTTTTTTTAGGGAGTAAAGTTCCTACACTTGTTTATACTCCACAAGCCTCAAACCTTATTTTCACATTCCACAGAATCAACCTCTCTTACCAACTTTCTCCCAGCAACATGAGGTCCCAGTACCATCTCTCTTTAAGAAATATGCCATACTAAATAGTGAAGAGAATTCGATAACACACAGTTTACATAATGAACATGCATAATTATATATAAGTCCTTCCAAATCGTGGTCCTAAATCACTGAATCAGAGACTACCTTTATTCTGCAAGAAAGAATAGAAACAATAACAAATCTATATTGGTGTCTGCTACACAAAACATAATAGAAATGCATGTAAATGCCTCAATCTCCACCATGAAACAAATTAGGATATTTCCAACGCATGAGAGTGCAACTTCACATTAGCAACAATCATAATGATAACATAATAATAGTTTAATTAGGAAATGTAACATTGCCCAGCAATTGAAGAAGTAATATGGCATTCTATAAAATTTTCAGGCCTTTCAGATAAAAAGCAAGTAGAAGCAAAATAATTCTAACGTATTAGTTTTTCTTTTTCCATCAAAAATTTATGTAGCTGAATGCAAAGTGAGAAACATCTAGTATGACAATTTTCTTGAAAGTGAGAATCCTTAAAGAATATGGTTCATTGAAGGTCTATTTGTATCAATCATGGTGATAAAATCAATTGTTATGATGTAATAATATATCCTCATGTTTTTAACTGCTTTTAATGTGGGAACATTTTTAAAAAATTCTGAAAGAGGAAATTAGTGATTAAACTGTTATAGTGCATTTAACAGAACATACGGGGGAAAAACCCAGTGCATATATCAAATTATTCAACTCAAAAAAATAAAGTAAACCCAAACACAATAACAGTTTAATCATATTCAACAGATATCACAAAAAATACATTACAAAATGCTATAATTGTAAGAGGAAAATCATAAAGATAAAATAAAGACTAATTTACCTTGATAGCTTTCTACTCCTCCAATCAATATTGGACACCTAACAGCAATAATCAACAATCAATCAATACTAAAAATAAAGGTTATCCATCAAACAATCAAACTAAGAATATGAATAAGAAATTACAATAAGGTAATAATAAGAATAACAAATATCCATACTTACAATACAATTTGAAAAAAAAAAACTTATTTGTTCCATCAAAATTGAAGCAGAAGGTATTTATAGAAACACAAAATGGATGGGGAGAGCAGGTGAGAAGGAGACGGAAACTGAAGTGAGGAGTCCAAACGTTAGTTTAATTTAGAGACGGAGAGAGGGAGAGGGGCAGGGGAAAGCACCGATAACGAAGGTAATTAAGGGATTTGGGCGTTATCAAAGAGAGAGGGAGAGGGGAAGGCAAGAGATCGGTTCGATTTTGTCTGTTATCAAGGGGAGAGGGAGAGGGGCAGGGGAGAGGGTGGATAACGAAGGGGATAATTTGGGTTATGAAAGAGGATGGGAAATAAATAAAGGGTTAGGGGGTGTTTGTTTTGGTTTTTTTTTGGGATATGATAGTTTTGGGATGTAAAAAGTGCTTTTTTGT